TTCGCAAATAGTTAAGGATGTGGGCTGTTCTAGTTTTAGGGAAATGCGAAGGTTAGGCTCAGGATAGGAAAGAGTGAAGGTACGTGTCCAACCAGTCTTAGGACTGATGACCTTATGATGATGATGATGATGTATGTATGTACCAGACGTAAGTAATAGAGGGCAGTAGAGAGAAGAAAAGATTCTATCACCTTTTTATTATTTTTTTTATAGATACAGAGCTTTTTAGTATTTGTTTTAGACTCCAAAACCTTCTCCATGCGCCCGTAATTCAAATGATCCTCCTCCAATGGTTATGGAGTATTTTACGCAGTTTGTCATAGTTTTCTTCTTACTTTCATTTCATTCATTTTTAAATAGTTCTACTTGCTATCTGCAGTGAGAGTATTATTTGTTCCATCTACAAATCTCTTGCATTAATTTCATTTTGTCATTCGCAATACATCTCGCGAGGCCAATGTAGTGATCGAGACAGAATGAATGTAAACACGGTTGACAATTTCAGCTTCGAGAGAGTAAGTTAACTGTATTTCAAAATTAAAAACATAACATTTGCCTGCTTCAATAACTTTTTTTCATAGTTATCAGGAAATGAGGCGGTATGGTACCCCGTAATATCATACGCCAACAACGGCGACTGCCAGAGGGTATATTTTACCGTGTGGGGTGCTTTACCCTTATCCACGGAAATGGATCACCTATGGAAAAATGTAAGCTCCGGTGTGTGGCATAGAAGGCAAGGTCGAGTAATATGGGATGAGTCTTATTATCCTTACGGACTAGCAGTACTGAGGGTGGAATACCCCGATGCCGCGGATGTAATGGTATATAGAGTTATTGGATTAGAGGATGATGAATTCGCCATTTTTTACAGATGCGTTAATGTAAATAGAAGAAACAGACAGGGTAAGAATAATCATATCTATGTAAATGTACATGCAGTTCCTTTATAAATGACCGAGAAACACATGAGTTCGATGTATGCAACCAACAATACAAGATGCACAAAATCAATTCAAATATCCCTAGACGATTTATGAAAATCATTAGAGAAAGTTGCAGGCAGTAGGTATTTTATGAAATGTCAAAATAACTAAAATGTTTAGTAGTATCATATAAAACAGGAATAAATCAAAACGAATAAGAGAGACAGATAGACCGAGTTATTTAATATATTTAGTTAATAGAATAGGTAGTTAGTGTTAATCCGATACTATCGAAAGTCACAAGGAAAACGAAGCAAGGACAAAATTGGACGATTTCAGAGATAATATCTACTAATAACTTTTGGCACATTCTTTGAAATTTACTCTTTTTAGTGTGACGAATACTTTTTTAAATCAGAGGCAGTTCTCATTATTTCTATCCTCCATAGTAGTAAACTAGTAACCAGATTCAAAGCGTAAATCTCAAATCAACTAGTAGGTACACTATCGGTTACTAAAAATGAGGTTACGTGGCTCTCGATCATTTACGAAAGCACTATATATGTTACTTTGAAAGCTGTAAATCTGAGGATGTATCTACATGAGTTGGCAATGTAAGGACTGATTTGATAAAGAAATGAAACTATTTTTCGATCGTTTACCGTCATAGGTTGGTGCATGCTAGATTGTGCTAATGACAACAATTAGTAACTGCTATTATATACACTCGAATATATGCGTTAGGGTATATGCAACCAAATATATACCAGAATTCAGACCCACCCAATTTTTTCAATTGTTTATTTCTACCTCAAATAGGTACGTAGAAATTGCTAACTTGTAGTTAAGAATTCTGGTTTAGCGATAACATCCAGGATATCGAAAATAGGCTTTCATCGTCACTTAGTTGTACAATATTGTACTATCGGATATACCAACGCAAACCGGTGTTTTTGGCGTTTTCCCGTCACAAACATTGTTTAAACCGCTTAAAGCCGAATGAAATTTTATAAAATATTTGTACTTTTAATTTTTAATAGAACGCCTTTTCGCCATTTCACGTATCTTAAAGTTAACATACCTATAGCTCAAAGAACTTTTTGTATAGAGTGATGCTTTTCTAGATCATAAGGGATAGGAGATATCAAGCCAAAAATGTCACGAACTTGTACTCTTTTAGACTGGACGGCCAGTGACCAAACACTCCTATCTACGCGTACAAGTCAATGGACATGTACAGTATTAAAACTCATCAGTGTACTCACCGCTCGCCCATCAGTTACTTTTGCCTAAAAATCTCCTCATAATAGATACCAGATTTTTTTTCTGTTTATCTTACCTTATTTTATTTTTTACCTGACGTATGTAGGGTCGTGTCGCCTTTAATAAAAAGAAGTCACTTCTATGCTCGCGAACCGTTAATTTAGAAACATGCACAGTGGGAGCGGCGGAAAAGAAAAGGTTAGAAGCGTTCGAAATGTGGTGTTATAGGCGGATGATGAGGATATCGTGGGTAGAAAAGGTTAGAAATGAAGAGGTATTGGAAAGAATAGGNAGGTGTCATTAGTGTCATCTTCTCATTTGCTGTTTTCATGGAATACTTCTATTATTTCGTCTGCATTGTCTATTTCAAGGGTTTCTTCGGGATCAACGTTAGGTAGGTGCGAAATAAGGTCTAAATCGTCATCGTCAGTTACTGTTTCATTAGTATTTATCTCAATTCGTGAGAGAGCATTTGTAACTACATTTTCTTTACCTTTTTTATAATGAACTGTGTAGTCAAATTCTTCTAGTCTTAGTCTCCATTTAGTAAGGCGGGAATTGGGATCTTTTAGTGAAAAAAGCCAAATTAAGGTTTTCTATTATGAATGGTCGTCCGTAAATATAAGGTCTGAAATGATTAATTGTTTCTATAATGGCGAGTAATTCGTGTTCTATAGTGGAGTAGTTTCTTTCTGCAGAATCTAGTGTGCGGGAAAATAAAACGCTATCGGTTTAGAATTTTGTGATAATACGCCAACTACGGCGACATTGGAAGAATCCGTAATTAGGTGGAAAGAAAATCTGGGTAAACAAGGATGAGAGATATCGATTTTTGTACATTTGTAACTTTCTTTAAGCATTTGGTGAATGGTTGTACTATTTGTGCGAAATTTTTAATAAATCGCCTGTAATATCCTATAAGGCCGAGAAGCTTTCATTTCTTTCGTGGTTTTCGGTAATGGGTACTCTTCAATTACTTTGATTTTCGGCTTGATGCCATCAGGTGTTATTACGTGGCCAAGAAAAACAACTTCTTTTCGAAGGCACTCAGACTTTGTCTAGTTGAACTTTAAGATTGAAGTGACGTAATTTTTCAAAAATCTGGATTACATGAAGGATATGCTCTTGAAGGGATTTTGAAAAAATTACGACATCATTCATGTAAACAAAACAGGATTTATATAGATGTTCTTTTAGAGCGTTGTCCATTACTCCTTGGAACGTACTGGGGGCATTTTTTAGACCGCTATTTACTGTGAACGCAGTGAAATCCCTGAGGCAAATCTAGTTTGGAAAAATAGACACATTTGCCAAGATTGTCAAGGATTTCTTCTTGGATGAGGGTATTTATCTTCTGTAGCTTTTTCGTTCAATTTTCGATAATCAATAACCAAACGCCATTTGCGTTTACCGCTGGCATTTACCTTTTTGGGGACAATCCATACAGGTGAGCCATGCTTGATCTTATAATTTTGCTATCTAGCTAGCTTTTGAGTTTAGTTTTAAATTTTAGTTGTTAGGTGGGATTTGTATCTGAAGGATTTACAAAAAAACGGGTTCATTATCTACTGTTCGAATTTTATGTTTCACTGCGTTTGTAAATGTCAGGTTAGTGTTTTCATAATAGAATACGTCACTATATTTTTTACAAAGAGTATATATCCCCCTTTTCTTCGATATTTAAATGTTCCGTTCGAATTAATTGCGAAATGTCGACTTTATGGGAAGGGATTTCTTTTTCTTCTTTTATGGTTACATTGTCCAATGGTTGATGGAAATTAATTTCAATTTTGCTCTCTTCTTATAAAGGCAAAGTGCAATAGCCGTTTTTTGCGTAAGTTATGGATTCGGGAATAATTAACCCCTTGTAGTTTATTTCTGGAACGATTACTACTTGACCGTTGTCGTTATGAACTGGAATTATTGTTACTGATTTTACCTTTTCTTTATAGGATTTAAAGTTTTTCGGAAGAAATTCTAGTGTGTCTGGTCTTATTAATAATGAATTTAAGTCGAGTCTAGTCTGGTGTTGGAAAATCCGGGATATTTTCTTCGTATTGTACTGGATTTTCATTTTCGATATAATCTGGCATTTCGTTAATATTATCATAGAGATCGTCTTTTGGATTGTGGTTTTCCGGTTTTTCGATATTGTGTAATTCATCTACTATGAAGTTGGGAGGACCTGTACTTCGGAAGTAATTTTGGAATTTGGGAGGATTGTTGTTTTGTCTCGAGTTAGATGTGTTTCTTGTGGAGATGAACATAGGTGTGGGCGTGTACTCGGTCTTTTTTTGAAATTTTAAGGAATAACTTTCGAATTAGCTTGATTATTGTTTCGGGTACGCAACATGTCGTTTCTTACTGGAGATGGATTTATATTTTTATAAGGTTGTTGTGGTAGTTGGTAATTTCAGAATGGTTGGAATATATTGTTTGTTCGGAACGGAGAAAATGGAGGGGTATTTTGTGTAGATTTTAGTTCTACTTTAGGTAAGGGATGTTGTAATGACTTTGTTGCTTTCATAGGTCTGTCATATAAAAGTGAGGAAATTTATTCGCTGTCTGTTGTTGTCATAATTTCTTAGCTGTACCAGTCTTCTAATGATATGTGGTTTTTAAATGAGATAAACGACCTGTATGGTTCTACTAAGCCTGCCATATAAGTATTCAATGCGCGTTTATTATACATATCCGTTTTGCATTGTCATATTCGTGGGTTTAACAAAATTTACTTCTAAGACTAATAACAAAAACTATTTATTTACACTAATTATTAATATATCACTATTCACTGCGCTATTTATTTCACTGCTATCACTGTCAATTTATTTCTCGACTCACTTCTGCAACGGTCAATTTATTTCTACTCCTTTCGGCGATCGTCACTTCCTTTAAATACTCTTTTGTTAACTGTCTGGAACCCTCTAGAAACATCCGGGTCGTTTATTTTTTCTTTGAACTGTTTAATTGCTTTCCCAGAACGTAGGTACGACACACACATTTACAAATACGGTGCACATGAAGAAAGGCGCCCGCGGCTAGTCAGCGAATCGATAAACCGTTCACACACACGTGTGCCCGATTGCATACAAACTCGCTAGAATATTATAAAATTTTTTAACCGACTCTTGTGTTACAGAAACAAAAGGTTCTTAAGTTTATCAAAATCGACCATATGGAAATTTACTACTACCATATTCAATACATTGTTGAAAACAGGAAAATTAATACTCAAACTGGTAGTGATAAACAACTCCACAGTGTATCTGCTGTTGATAATATTGGGATGCAGCAACACTTCTTAATCCGGGTTAATAAACTTTATTTCTTTTTGTTACTAGACTACATTAGGAATGTTGAAACCACCACAATTAACTATGGAATCGTTTGCAAAATTTTCTAAGATGTTTAACTGAAAAGGGTAATTTCTGACCGCTTTGCTGACTGAAGAATGGACAAACATACAGATACGTTAATGCTATTGTATACGATTGTAGAAAATGCAAGGTAATCCATTTCATATGTTCAAGGTGTACACCACTCTGGATAATACACACTATAAAATTATTTCGACACATTGCCAAGAACTCAAAAAATTCAGACTATTGCATAAATGAGAATTTCCACGTGCAAATGTCAAATACACTTATCATTGATTCAGAGAAAATCGATATCGGCACCTTTGAAAATAATAAAAAATTTAGATATTTATAACATAATGATACAAGACTCGGTTAATTAGTCACTTACTGAACAATTTTTT